TGTATGTTGGAGGGCACTGGGTCAGCTATACTTTCCAGTGCCCAGTTGAGAATGTTTTAATTAAAGTTGATGCCAAAGGCAACCATTGGCATTACAGTGAACAACACTGTAATAGACCACAGCCCTATTCACATCACGTATTTACTATAAATTGCCACACCTCGTGCTAAAAAGTACTCTGTGTATTACTTCACTGTTTCACACGCCTACTGAATACTGATTCATGTATAAATAATGTTCAAGTCAACTCTGTTACTATGGCAATCTATCTATTTAATACCTTTTAGTTTTAGTTTTCAAATATTTTATCAATGGTGTATAATTCAGTTAAACCTTGACTTTTGAAAATGAAACTCAAAAGACAGATAGACATATCCATCATTTTATTTAAATGAAATTTCAAGCATATTGCTCACTTTTTTTCTTTATTGAAACATTTTTGTATGAAAGCTTTCTGAGAAGAGATTCTGAGAAAATGTGAGAGATTTAACAAAGCCATGGCTATAGGAAGATCCACAAATATTTCACACAGCAGTCTGTTTTTGATTTCCTTTCCCCACAAAAATATCCCTCATGGCAGACCCCAGTGTTAAATTATTGCAAACACAGCTATACATATCTGCATGAAAAAGTAAAAAAGCTGCTGCTCCCAGACTTTGGAACTCCCTCCCACAGGAGGCCAGACTGGCCCCATCTTTGCTGTCCTTCCGCAAGTGGGCAAAGACATTTCCCTAAATGACTGATTTGGCCAAGGGGATATTTGAAAGGAGCATTTTATTCGGTGTTTTTACTTGAGTTTTTAGTATTGTTCTTACTATGAGTTTTTATGTGATACTTGTTTAATGCTTTTAAATATTGTAATAATTTATTATTTGGCTTTTAACTTTGTTCCTTTTAATACTCCAAGCCACCTTGGATCCTTTAGGAGAAAGTTGATAGATAGATAGATAGATAGATAGATAGATAGATAGATAGATAGATAGATAGATAGATAGATAGATAGATAGATAGATAGATAGATAGATAGATAGATAGATAGATAGGAAAAGGAGAAAAGGCATATTAAATAGACTACCCTTTGTAATAGCTACATATCAACAATGCCTTTTCTTTTCCCAGATTTTATTTTGTTTTTTTTTTCTGTGCTGATTAATTTAAAGAATTTCTTTTTCGATGGACCGCTCTTGAACCCTTCCCACTCTCTCAACCACTCCCCTCTGAAAGACCTTCTTGGAACTGCTTCAGCCCTTCTGGTTGCTCCTTCTTCTACCCTTGCCCCACCCCAAGCTCTTTCCCAAGTATACTTTCCAGTTCTTCAGACTTACAGGGCAGACGTAAACAGAGGCATCCAGGGTAGGTACTGTAATAATGTCTAGTACCATGTTTCCAAATGTGGCACTAAGAGAATGAGTTGCAAAATGAGCTCCAGGTTCAAATGTCCACATAGCCATAAAATGATTGGATGGCCTTATGCAAGCAACCACATTTTTTCTCAGGATTGGGTTATATGATGACCCGTCTTCACAAATTAGAAATAGAGAGGTATAGGAGTTTTGTCGTTCTAGTGTAAGGTTTCCACAGCTCCATAAGCTGCACTCCAGCATCTTGGCACTCCAATTCTAACCACTAATTTGACAATGTAGTGCTTTGTTTGTAATTTAACGAGAGTCTTTGTATCTCTTTCCGGATTTGTGTAAGGGATGAAAGCATGGATGTGCTAACTTCTGAGTATTTAGGGGAAATTACGTTTTCCCTAAAATTGCTTCCGGAGCTCCGCTCTTTTCCTGCTTGGCTAGCGACTCAGCAGTCATGTAGAGAGACTCAGCCTGCCTCCCACTGCCTGGAGTAGCCAGGCGAGCAGGAAGAGAGTGGAGCTTTGGGTGCGATTGGAAGGATGAGTGAGGCTGCCACTGCTGCCCGGATGCATGAGTGGATGGACCAGCTGCAGGGGCTGGCCCCTCATTAAGTCCAGCTGTGCAGGGATATTTGTATTTGAATATGAATGCCCCTGTCTCTAGTTATGATATGCTGACCTGATCAAAGGAAGAACCTGCGCCCCTTTGCATGGAGCAGTTTCTTTCCTCCTCTTTGTTTGTTTCATTGCAGAGAATCAAAGTTATAAAGACTCTTCAGTTGACCAGTTGGGTGGCCCCTCTCCTGTGAAAGCAAAGTGCACTACTTACATACTGTCCCATAGTGCTTAAAGCACTCTCCAAATACTTTACAATTTAATTACACATTGACCCCCCCCCCCCGTGAGCTGGGGTACTCAGTTTCTTGATGTTGGAAGGATGAAAGGCTGAGTCAACCTTGAGCCAGTTACCTGAGGCCGTCAGGATTGAACACATGAGCAGAGTCTTGACTGCAGAAATGCCGTTTAACCACTGTGTCATGAGGCTCCTTCTTATATGGCATCTGATCTCAAGGACCACAACCAGCTGAACACAGAGGGGCTCCCCAGGATGGGGGGAGGCAAATGTGTGCTTCCTTCTCCTATTGTCAAGATACTTCAGCAAATCCAGACACATGTAGTTGCTCTAAGTCACTGTTTCCCAACCCAGAGGTCACAAAGTGTTTTCTGGGGGTGGGGGAGGGTGTCACCACTGTTACTTTTAGTTGCAGTTATTTTAAACTGATTCCTATATGTGTCCACTTAGAATTGCGGCCCATTGACTTCAATGCTGTTTATTCCCATCCAGGGGATGAAGGCATCAGCATGTGAGATGCCACCATAAACACCAGGAGCATAAATTGCTGGTAAACGAATTTGGTGATGTACCTTTTTCTATAACTGCGTTTTAGTATGCTAGGAGTTTCATGGTCTTAGGAGTTTCTCAGTGTTTCCTTGTCAGTATTTACATGTCCACACTCAAATATTAGTTTACTAGGAAATAGATTTTTTTGCAAGGAAGTCTTGCTCTGACTTTTGTCAACACAATTGACCTTCTCAGGATTGCATTTTTACACTCCCTTTAATTATTTTAGCACTCTATACACAAAAAACATCAAGCCTTGGCACTATATTGTGTTACTCTACATTCCTGTCAACCACCTGTACCAGAAAGCTGTGGCACCAATGGCTTTCTGCCTGTATCAATACTACAAGCTTTTGGCATGCTGGGTGGTTCGAAACCTCTAGTTCCCATGAGAAGCGACACAAACCAGATCTCATTTAATTATTGCCATTAATGCATTAATTACAATATGAAGGCATCACAATATGACTGCCTTGAGGACAGTCCTAAAACTTCACTAGGTTCAAAATTGTGGCTGCTAGAGATTTAACTGAATGAATTAAAAGTGTGTTTTTGACTTTTTCAAACATACAATGTAGACAAAGATTAAGTTTAGATGCCACGAGAACCATATTCATCCAAACAAGCCTGTCCAAGCACAGTTAGAGGGACTTTGATCTAAATCCCACAGCAGTATGAGGTGTGCTGTATGAAAACATAAGACAATCCGTTTCTTGTGGCTGCACCAAGGCAATGGGATGTTCTTCCAGGGCAAACCTTCCTGACTCTGTTCCTTGCTGGCCTATTGCAATATACGAAATAAGTATTTACTGCTGAAAATACTGATGGTGGTAGTTGCTTTTACATGGCCGCTAGCTCAGTGGTAGGTTATGTACATTCCACACATAAACCTGGATCCTCAGATGACTTAAACTGAGGAGGTTCAGGGAAGCAACATTGCAAACCCTCTCCTTTCACTCCTGGCTCCAGTAGCTACCTGCACCTCCTGAAAATCCTCTTCAAAATGTAAGGAGAACCTCCCAAACAATGGAGAATTGAATGTTGGGATCTGCTGGGAGGAGAGAGAATAAGAAGCTTTTCTTCTATGAACATCTTTAAGCCAACCCATCATACATCTCAAGCCTAATTTTGTACAGTATTCTCCTCTCCCAGCAGCTCCCCTGAAACATTTTTTTGGGGGGGCGGGAGGTGGAGTTAACACCAATATTTCAAAAATTCTTTTAGCAAGCTGTCACGATCCCCATGTGGCCCCTGCTTGTTTCACCAAACTAAGAGCTCATTGTACATGTCTTTCAGCTGCCACCAGTTGATTACATCAACATTGTTTATTATTAATAATAGAAGTCCAGGCCATATGTCATTTTAAAAGAACCAAATAGAATTTGTTCATTGTTACAGATGTATATACTTCAAGCAATGTTGTTAACTCTTAACAAACATCCTCCTTCATCCACTCTCAACCACCTCTCTCCCACCCAAATTCCAAAACTCTCTCAATCTCCCAAACGCCCCCTCCTCCTGCTGAGTTTCTTATAGCTCACGACTCCGCCCCTCCAGCACTCCCATTGGTCTATGCATATATGAATATTCATGACCACACAAGCTAACCCAGATGTTGCAGGAAAATGTAGATGTTTTCTTCTGTCAGTTTATGTCAGGGCTGAAGGGGACTTCCAGACAGTGCTATCACCCTACCCCATTCACAGAATTTTGCAGGAAGACCCAGCCTCATTGTCTTCCACTTGTAACTTTATCTAGCTTTTTCTTTCTGTACAAGAAGGAAGAAACAACAGAATAGCAGTACTACATCTTCTGACTGGTGGTGCTCTTGGCCTTCCATCTTGAAATTAATCTTTATTCTTTCCTGACATGGTGTGAAGGTGCATGAGAAAGGTTGCCAAGTATCAAGGAATATGGCAGTGTCACAAGGATGGCTCTGTTGCCATGAACTGAACAAAGACTAAGAAATATATATTGATTTTGTGTGTGTGTGTGTGTGGGGGTCACTTTGCTCCTCTAAGGCAACACATTTTGTGATAGAGGACTGTCCTTATCTGAGGCAGTGTCTCAATTGTGTGCCTGGTCAATGCTCAATAGTGTATCTAAGATGTACTCTCATCAATTAGCTGCCGTTGGCATCCAAGATGTTAACCTTGCAAATTACCTGCAGTCAGTTGTGGCAAGATATGCAAACCTTATGCAAATATTAATAGCAAACAACACCCCTAAGTATCTTCATCTTTTAAAACATTTTATTTTATATTGCATTATTTGGCCTCTCTGTAGGTAAGAACCAAATGGCCCAAAAAAAACCTTGTGCAGCTCTGCCTATGCATCTGGTATGCCATTGTCAGATTGGTATTGATTAAGTCCTTTTTATTTTGAGGTGCACACAGCTTGCATTCAATGAGACGATATCATCTGCACCTAGAAATTAAAAAAGAAAGTCTTTAATCAGCACAACCTTGCCACTGAGAACTATGTCATTTCTGCTACACAGGCAAAACTCACCCAGCAGGATTTGGGCCAATAAGTTAAATACATAGTGAATCAACATATTTCTCTTTTTTTTCTGCCACCGTGGGAGTGTACATGCTGCAAAATATGCCTCAGAATAGGGCATATTCATTTTCACTCTGTATTTATGCCTGCTCAGGTAAAATTAAGAGACCACCTTAGCAAATGGCTCCCCAGTTTCCTTCCTGTGTAAAAAAAGACTGTTAGGAGTAACACTTACTGGAACATTATGTTTTATCATACTGAAATGAAAGTCCTGAGAATAACATTGCTTGCAAAGTGACACAACTCAGTCTGACAACTCAGTATTTATGAAGCAAATGGAAAGCTTGTTAGGAAATGTTAGAAGCAGCAGTGCAAACTTTCTGTTCTGCCCGGTGCACACTGGACAGCTAACAAATCAGTTAACAAGTGAAGTGAATATGCTGGTTAACATCCTGTCTGATAAGACTGGCCTCAGTAATTATTGCAAGACATCAGCCATTTGTAGTGCTTCAGAGAGCACATGCCAGGTGAATTGCTCCAGCCGATGTTAATTTCCTTTCCACTTCATAGATAAATATACCACTTGACACATTGTCCTTGGTGATGGATAATAGCAAATACACACCCACACACACACACACACCAAATCCCTTTGAGATTTGTGTCTTTCCAAACTGAGATTTCAAGCAGCTTATTGTGCATATTTTACACGAGGCCAGCCAGGACAATCTAGACATCTTTATGGTTCACTGGTGAATATTTAGTTATTTTTCCTTCCTGACAACTAGCACTTCTCAAGGCAGAACAGAGTGGCAAACTACACATTATGTTGAAGATTGTGCTATTAAGATCCCCTTTTCAAAAAAGAAAAAAGAAAAAAAGGGAGCAAACTTGAGAACCTTTGGTTTTAACTGGGCATGTGGCTGGAAAGAGCTGTTTCTTTGCCTATCCTTTTCCACCCAGAACCCTACCCCCCAGCTGCTTATCCACATCATTTAGTGTTCTAGATCATTGGAAGTGGAGGATTCCAATGTTGTGGGCCAGTGAGTCAGCTCCAAGTTTTAATTTGAATTTTAAAAGAGCTACCAAAGTGCTGAACCTATTGGTGGGAGAGCGCTCAACATCTTGGGCATCTCTTCGAAAGCTCAGACCAACACCCAGAGTGGATTCTCTGAAATCAATGTCATCAACCTCCATTGTTCTACATGTGTTTCTACCTGGTAAATATTAATGTGGAGCAGTGCTACGAAGGAGAAGCAGCACCTGGAGAGCAATTTTGATCGGAAAAATGTTTGCCAGGAAAAAAAAGTTGAGTATCTCTAACACACACACGTGCATCCACGTGGGCATATGCGCACCACCAGCACTGGGACCTCCAGTACAACTACAGTGGTGCCTCGCTAGACAGTTACCCCGCACGACAGTTTTTTCGCTAGACATTAACTTTTTGCGATCGCTATAGTGATTCGCAAAACAGTGATTCCTATGGGGGAATTTCGCTGCACAATGTTTGGTCCCTGCTTCGCAAACCAATTTTCGCTAGACAACGATTCTGACAGCTCCCTCCGCACTCACAAAACAGGTGTTTTTGGGACCTAAGCTTCGCAAGACAGTGATTTAAACAGCCGATCGGTGGTTCGCAAAGCGGCTTTCCTATGGCCGATCTTCGCTAGACAATGACTATTCTTCCCCATTGGAACACATTAAACAGGTTTCAATGCATTCCAATGGGGAAATGCTTTTTGCTAGACAATGATTTCGCTAAACAGCGATTTCAGTGGAATGGATTATCGTCGTCTAGCAAGGCACCACTGTATTTTGTCACCAAATGTTGCAGTCTCTTTGTGTTTGCCTTTCATTTTGAAGTCAGAAATGGCTGTTACTGTCATTTCAAATAGATAAATGCATATGGAGTGGTGACAGCTGTGGGCAGCAAGTAAGTGGGTGGAAGGAAATGCTGAATGCTCTTTGGGGGAGTTTCAACTATGACTTAGGGGACATCTTCTAAATCTACATAATGTCAGAGAGGGATAATGGGTCATTCAGCTGTGCATCAGACCAGTCGTTGGTACTCCCCTAAGTGTACTCTTGTGGTATCAAAAGCCATCTCATGCCACAAAGGGCCTGTGCAATAAACCTTCACATTTAAATGTCATACAGTCATCTTTATTCAGATGGATATTAACTTCAGATACAGGCATCAAATACAGGATCTGCGAAGTCAGCGAGAAAAGGAAAAGGACTTAGAATTTTATTCACGATAGACACTCTTTTGAGATCCAGATGGAAATCTCTGAGAACAGAGGAATTATATCTTGCATAACCAAAAAATGCAGGGAGAGGGGAGAGAAGAAGACTAGTCTATAAATTTTTCAGCTGAATCAGACACTAGACAATCATGATCAGCCTCCTATCTTCCTTGGTCATCTATAAAGTGGGCAGAAGATTAACCAATTGTATCTGGGTTCAGGTAGAATAAAGCAGATACTTCAGGCAGCTGTTTTGGGGTATCATGCAAACTGATAGCTATTATTTATTTCATGTTATTGTGTTTTTACTGCCAGGGAACAGGGGAGCTGCTAGCAGGATCCTCTGCCTCAGATGCCAGAACAACTTTGATAACTGGCAGTCCTATAAAGCTTGACTTTGGAAGAGAGTATTTGCTGCTATTCTTTGGGCAGCAAAATCTCTTGGGCTGGTCCTGCTTACTTTCATCACAGAAGGAGCATGTGGAAGAGGGACACTGAGTCCCCCATTTTATTTTTTATAGGTTGGGTACCCAGGCCCTGTTCTGTCTTCCTTGTTCTTGACTGTGGGGAAGTAAGCTAGGGTAAGCCCATTTCTTCTCCACTGATAAGACTTGATAGTAAGACTCGATACACATGTGAAGGTGGAGGGAAGCACATACACTACCACCAGATCTACTCTGGTCTTTAAGAGAAAAAGCATGTTCTGCAGAGGAACCTTACCCACCACAAAATACTCACCACTATGATAGCAGAATCATAAAATAATTGAGTTGGAAGGGGCGTACAAGGTTACCAAGTCCCTACTAAGCACAGGAATACAAAACCAAGTAGATCGGATAGATGGCTGTCCAATTTTCTCTTGAATCTACTAAGCGCAGGAATACAAATCAAAGTAGATCTTGAATGCCTTCAGCCTTGGAGCACTCACCACTAATGGAGGTAATTGGTTCCATACTCTTAACAGTTAAGGCTTTTTCCTGATATTCAGCCGAAATCTGGCAGGAATACAAATCAAAGTAGATCTTGAATGCCTTCAGCCTTGGAGCACTCACCACTAATGGAGGTAATTGGTTCCATACTCTTAACAGTTAAGGCTTTTTCCTGATATTCAGCCGAAATCTGGCTTCCTGTAACTTGCACTCTGAGATGATCAAGAACAGACCCTGCCCCTCCTCTGTAAAACAGCCTTTGAAGTATTTAAAAAGTGCTATCATATCTCCCCTCACTCTTTTTGCCCAGTTTTCAGTCTTTCCTGATAGGGCTTGGTTTCCAGTCTCTTGATCATCCTTGCTGCCCTCCTCTGAACTTGTTCTAGTTTGTTAGCATCCTTCTTAAAGTGTGGTGCCCAGAACTGGGCACAGTACTCAAAATAAGACTCACCAATGCCAAATAGAGGGGGACTAACACCTCCCTGCCCCTCCTCTGTAAGACAGCCTTTGAAGTATTTAAAAAATGCTATCATATCTCCCCTCACTCTTTTTGCCCAGTTTTCAGTCTTTCCTGATAGGGCTTGGTTTCCAGTCCGCTGATCATCCTTGCTGCCCTCCTCTGAACTTGTTCTAGTTTGTTAGCATCCTTCTTAAAGTGTGGTGCCCAGAACTGGGCACAGTACTCAAAATAAGACTCACCAATGCCAAAGAGAGGGGGACTAATACCTCACAGGATTTGGAGACCATGCTTCTGTTAATGCATTGTAAAATAGCATTGGCCTTCTTTGTGGCCACATCACACTGTTGGTTTATCTTCAGCTTGTGATCTACAACAGTTCCAAGTTCCTTCTTGCTGAGCCAAGTATCCCACATCTTGTACCTGTGCATTTGGTCCCCCCCCCGCTTCATATTTAGAACTCCACACTTATCTCTGTTAAATTCCATTCTGTTTTGTTTTCAGCACAGTACCCAGGCTGATCAAGATCTTTTGTAATTTTGTTCCTGTCTTCTGAGGCATTAGCATTTTCACCCAATTTTGTGTCATCTGCAAATTTTGATTATCTCCATCATCTTGTTTTTCTTTTTGTCTTTTAATTAAGATAGGTGTCATCTAGTCATCCTTCCTCTGCATTTATGGATTGTAGAAGACGGCACATGAATGCGCCTAACATGTACTGAAAGAAAATTTACCTTGGGAAATAGCGGGAACATCTGAACAGATTTGAACAAAACCTGCGTGCTTTCTTAGATTCAACAACGGGGACAGGGCGTTGTTTTTCTGGTTGTGAATTGCAGAAAGCTGAAATAAAGAAAAAGGGGGTAATAAACAATTTGATGCAGGAAACATTAACAAATTAAATTGCTATGAATATGGCTAAGAAGTATTCTTACAGTGATACAAACTAGATGAGAGAACAAAGTATGAATGACAGCTCATTAATGCCATACACTTTGTCTCATGCAGTCTCTCTTTCCAGTGTGTGTGTGTGTGTGTGTGTGTGTGTGTGTGTGTGTGTGTGTGAGAGAGAGAGAGAGAGAGAGAGAGAGAGAGAGAGAGAGAGCGCTCTGATAATAACATTATGTGTGAGTGCTCTCATGAGAATAAATGTTACTGGGAATGTCATGGCAAAATGCATTGTTCAGTGAGTGAGTATACATGAGTTTTATCCTGATCTGAAAGAAGGTACAAACTGGAATAAACAGATCTCTTGATACTCTCCCAAGAAATATTGATCTTATACCTGAGTTTGAGGACAGCTCCTTCATTCCTTTTGTATGCATGTATGAATATTTTATTTGTTTTTATCTGGGCTGAATTTGTTGCAGAATTTTGAATTTTTAGTAAAATTCCCTTTCCTCTCTTTAGTCTGTTAGTCAGTTTGTTGTTAATTCACTGTTGGTCTGTTCACAACTGTAAGTAGTGAAACGTTTTTATTCTTTGTACTACTAATGTCTCAGACTGAGTTATTGAAACCTGTAAATGCTGGTTAATGAGAAAGGGGTGGACTATCTAAGGAACTTGAAGCTATTCTCTTCTGTGAGTCTCTATGCTTCTACTGCGTATCAAGAGGAGAATTTTACCAAAAATTCAAAACTCTGGAATAGATAGTAATATCCAAATGATATCAGTAACAAAACCAGAGAGAGCCATCTGAGTATCAATGTATAACATTTTACTTACTTTTTCTCAAGACATCTACTTCTGATTTTTGTGTACAACTCGATTCCATGTGCTCCAAGATGGAATCTAGAGATAAGCCATACTAATTGTGAATAGAAAGGAAACAGTTACTTACATTACTGTTTCACCTACAGTTCTTTTATTTGCCACCAGCTACTGCAATATTCCTCTATCTGACAGTTGCACCTAACTTGTATTTATTGTATTCATTTTTTTAAAACAAATGTGTTGCACAGCGCATTCATGTCTTCAGGGTGACTTTCCAAAGCTGCAAATAAAACTAGGAGGAACAGCAAAATTATATTTAAAAAGAAAAGAAAAGCAATGAGAGAAAAGAATGGCTTTTAAAAACAAAAAAATTAAAACCAGCTAAACACAGCAGGATTATAAAACCAATCTTCATTAATTGTCAATATATAAAAATCAAATCAGCTACCCCCAAACCTTAATGAAATGTAAGCTCGTTCACAGTCTTTGTAGAGTCCATAACAAAACCGATATCAGACATACATGGCTGTGGGGAACAAATTCCTTGTTATCATATTGTTATACGAAGATGTTATGTGACTATGAGAACATTATGATATATGTTACTCATCACATGATTGCCAAGTAAGGATAAATAGTCTTAAGGTTTGTAGTAAAAACTGGTGTGGTGAAAACAGATGGAAGCAATTCTATTGATATACCTATAAACATGGTGGCTGCAGTTCTTGAAGATTTTCGTGGACTTTGACAATATTCTTGTGCCTGATATAAGAAGGTTCTCACTTTTCCTGGATGCTCCTTAACCTAGAAAGTGAATATTTTTGATAAACACTAGAACGACTGCTGGCTGGATAACTCCGAGTTAGGCATGAAACTACAAGCTGGGAGTTCAATTACCTGTGTTTCGGGGGTGGGGGGTGGGGAGAACCAGACTGTGTAACTTTGGGCAAGCTATGCAGCTGAAGGGTGGCTCCCAAAGAAGGGAACAGCAAACCATTATTGAGTACTCTATACAGTACCTAGAGAACTCTGGAAAGGTTCTCTGTAAGTCAGACTTTAATTGATGGTACACATTTGGTTATTTATGATTAGCATGACTACCTAAACTACACATTTTTTTTGGTTTTAATTCCTATTGGAAAGAAATCCTTTCAAAACAAAAAGGAAACCTGCAATTTCACAGAGCCAGATCAGCCAGTAATTATTACTCCTAACAATACTTCTCTGTCCAGCTCTGCCTCTGACATCCCTGACATTTCATGTCTGTACACTGCATTTTGATCACATGCATGCTAAATCCTGGTTTGCATGGGGCAAAAGAGTCAGGTCAGCTTTCTCAAAAATAACCCAGCATTTTACTGTGGGATTTCTGGACTCTATTTCTTTGGATTTACTTGTGTGGAGTGTTTTCTAATATGACAACCTTACATTATCGACCAAGACAGTGGGAGATACGGTACTGTTGTTCTGTAGACAAGGAAGGCCGATTTCTATGAATTCACACCTATATGGCAAATTGGATTTGGGTGGGAAGTATTGTCTGATCCAGTTCATGGAGAGTAACTTTTCTGTGGATAACTGGAAAAGTAGGGAGGAGGGGGAATGAAAATTTGTACATTTCTTCTCTTGAAGACATTATAAAAATAATAATGCCACTAATTTGGACAGATTTTTTTTTAAGTAAGAAAACAGTCAGTCCAGTTGTGAATGGATCCTTTAAACTTCACGAGTACTTTAGTGGAACCAAATTGGTGGCAAGCTTTGCAGTGGCTGGTTAGTTCAGTATATGTGCAAAAAAGTATATCTGAATAATTATGGAAGTTAGAATTGACACGTGAGACCCAGGCACTGACAAAATGTCAAACAACTGTGAATATGGCTAAAAAACCCCAAAACATCCATTCCCCACACCAACCAACGATAATATTTCATGGTGAGAGGAGAAATGGGATGCCAAGACTTCCTCCAAACCCTAAATGGCTTAGCTTTTGCTCACTGGAGAATCACAGATTGGAGGGGCACACACATGCTTCACCGTATCTTCCTCTACCCCCATGTCCATTTGCCACGTCCCATTTAGATCCAACAGACTCAAAATCAGCAGAGAATATGGAAAACTGTACAATCTACATGGATGGCCTTACAAGATGCTTGCAAGTTGTGTCCCAAGAGTCTTCATTCTCATTTGCTGTCCACTCCAAGAAAATGATGCATACTGTTAAGCTGTCTCTGCAGTTCTGTGAAACAAGTAGAGACAAGAAGCTTGCCCTGGATGAGGATGATCAGTCCAAACAGGGAGGAGGAGGATGTTTTTAAATAAAGCTAAATTAATTTTAGAATGAGGAGATACAGACCATATGTATTTGCCCATATAATCTAGGAAAGTAGGCGTTGTGCTTCCTGCAATTAGCCTTTTACAGGACCTTCTGAGTACAATAGGATGCTCATATCCACAGAGGATTGGTTAAGAGCCCCCCTGCAAATGATGAAAAACTTGGACCAGAATGGTCACTGTTTTAATAGTGAATGCTATACATACTGTAACATGGTTGCTGGCTCCCTCTAGTGACTTGTTTTGGTTATGAAATCATAGAAATATACCGTATTTTTCCATATGTAAAAATTTCCCACGTATAAGACACTTTTCTAACCCAAAATTTCTTTCTTTGCAAGAAAGTGGAGGGCAGCTTTTTGCAATGAAAATGCAATTTTCTTTGCAAAAGGTGGAGGGGAAAGCAGGGATCAAAGTGCTTTGATATAAAATAACCCTCAATTTTTCCTTTAATTATTTTAGGAAAAAGTGTCATTTTATACACGGAAAAGTATGGTATTTTCTTAGCAAACACTATACATAACATGGTCTCTGGCTCCATCTAGTCCCCAGTTCTGCTAACTTCTTTGTTAGAAATATATATTTCTGGAAATTTTTCTTTTAATATTTTTAGTATTTTCACACTGTGAATAAGTGAATTAGTAGATACGGATCCCCCGGATATTAGTTGGTTATTAGTCCTACTTTAGTTGGTTAATTATTTTGGAGTGGCCATTTCTAGCTCTTATGATTGACTTTTCCCCCATTTAGTGGAAACACTTGTGGAATAAGGTGTCACTAAAATGGAGAGAACATGCTGTAGCAATTTTAAAGTGTTTCCCTAATATCCCAAATCTAAATATCTCATCCCCCCCTGAAATATTCGGCTACTATAGAACTGACCACAGTAGGGTGGAAGCAAAATCCCTTCTAAGGCATGCATGCACCTGTGTGCATGGGGATGCCTCTACTTCTTTCCACACAGCTTTCCTCCTCCTCCATGCAGTCCCTTTGGTTCTGGTTGCCGTGGAAACCCACGTGCGGGGGGGGGAGAGGCACGAAAGAGAGAGGCAGAGCCTTGCCCAGCAGGACTGAAAATTATAGGGTACATTGGGTGGTATTACGAGGTTGTACACTATCTTTTTCCTTTACTGCCATCAACAAAGCTTTTCCACTGCCATCTATTTAGGCATTTGACCTCCACAACGATGCAAAAGCCGTACCCATGGCCTCCGTATTTCCGGTTTAATCAGATCTCCCTGTATGCCTCCTGAAATAGATTCAAGTGCCTTTAGGAGTCAAGAAACACTATGGAAAGACCAGTGCACCCAATGCCTTAAGATTCACACAATCCCCCTTTCCACCCCAAACATAGCCAAATTCCATGTGGTAGGATTTCCTTTCAACATTACTGTATATCTTCTTTCCTCCTTTTATGTTAGGAAAGTATGCCTGCCCAAATCTAGATGATTAAGAAAGATTTCCAAGCATAACCAGAGAGTTGTTCCTCATCCTTTTTTCTCTATTATCCTACAGTTTTGTGCCATTTTGGAGGGTTCAGGAGGAAAAAAAAACCCAGTTTTTGCAAAATTCCATGCTAGCCAATGGGCTTGGTGTCAACCAGATTAAAATCCCTTGAGCCCCACCTTCACCCCAGTGCCTTCTTTCTTGGAATGGGTGTTTGTGGTCCATGGGCCTCCAGATATTGTTCATCTCTGCCCTAGAGGCAGCCCTGACTCTCTATACAGTCCCTTGAAGTTGGATTGCTTTGGGACACAGAACCAGCTCAACACATATCGCTGCCTGGATGGTGCAATAAATGGTGCTGCTCCTCCCAAATCCAGACTCCTAATACCTAACACCATCAAAGTTTTGTTGGCATCTAAGGTAGAACATCCCATAGCTACCTCTCCATTTTCCTGGAAGTAAAAAATACAATAGGAATAATTTAAGCAAGTGAACATTTGCTGCCCTTTAATGGTGTAAAGGTTGTTCTGCTTGAAGCAGCCACCTTGCTCTGCTTCATGGTAGGGCTATCTCCACTGAGAGACAAAGTCATGTTTCAGCATCAGCACATGGACCAGTGGTTGCATCTTTGTACCAGCTCTGGGGCTTCAGTGGCCAGTATTTGATCCCTACGAAGTTTATCTAACAGGGGAGTTTGTAAGGCTCAGCAAGTAGGTCCATAATTTACCTCAGCCACATGTAGGTCTGGATCCTGCAGATTCACCATCAGTGTAACAATACTAGAGAGAACTTGGTCCCGCATCAGGGTTTTATCTTTCGCATCCAGGTTCAAAAGAATATCTCGAAACAGTCTATTTGCAGCACAGCATACTTTGTTCCTCTCCTAGGAATGAGAGATAAAAGGAAAGGGTTTACTTGTTGATCTTCCCATGAAACTTGCACATAGTACTACCCTATTGGAACATATATCTGATAGTTAGACAACATTCTATGCTCTACTGTGTTCCCCTTTTTAAAAAAAACTCTCTAAAAGGCATTATCATTTAAACATATGTTCAAGATGACAGACCACCAGTTGAAAATGTGAGACTTACCTCTGAACTAAAATGCACTGGATTGCATTGCATATATTTTGCTATCCTACAGTTTGGCTTTTGCTGTTGAAAGTGAATGCTGTGACATGTAATCATGGCTGAGTAAACTAGGGGTTTTATATACTGTATGTGTCATTACTGAAGGAGAAAATCAATCTACCTTAGCTTGAATGCAAGTTTGTGTTTTTATTCCTGATGCAATACAGTAATGTAATATTATTTATTCTCCATTCCTCTGAAAATTATGAAGTGCCTTGCTGAAGTTTGAAAAGGGCATACAGAGGGCAAGTCTTTCTAGAAAACGGTATTGATTTCATGCCACTTTAATTGCTTGCCTGCCCAAGAATCTTGGGAACTGCGTTTGGCAAGGATGCTCAGAATTCTTCATTAGAAGCTTCTTTTCTAGAAGGAGTGAAAAACAACTTGACATGCAATTTTCCAAGTGCTCTATATGCAGCTCTTAAAGGATACAAGAAAGTCTGACAACGCCTCTGGTCAGGTGGAAGTGGTTCTTGTTTGGCTCACTCATTCAGGTCAATGGCTACTTAACAATCTGTCAACTATAGCAAAATCCATGTGAAAACAATGCTATCCTCTATGCTTGACATAGCAAAAAGCAGAAAAAAACTCTTATTAAAGGAATTTGTTTGTGTGGTGTAGAATGAATGTTTTGAATTACAAAGAGCAAATAGTATTGCAAAGAGCAATAAGTATCATCATGATATGGAAACCTGCTTTAAATCAAGACTTGCAGAATCCCACTAACACAATAAAAAATGTGTCACTTTCAATACAAAGTGGGATGTATTGTGCCAGAGACTTCCACGTATTCCCCCAGCACTAGATGACAAGATTGTTTTTGAAAGGTCTCCCCAAATTTGTGACAATCTGTCCTTCTATCCTGAAAAGCCCACCCCACATCGGTGAGTCATTCTTGTAAGCCTTACCTCAGCCAAGAATGGCTGAAGATGCTTGGCGATCTTCACGTATACTTTGGCATTGTTGCTGCAGGATGAAATAATCTTGTTTACTGCCACAATTGCTGCCAAAGTCACTTTCTCATCGGGGTCATAAAAACTCGGAAGGATGTCCAGTATTAGGGCTGTCAATTCTTTCTTCTGAAAGAACACAGATAAATTTACTTATTGATTTTTTTCAGTCAGTAAGAATAGTAAATCAAGTATTAGAAGCAATAATACACAGTAGAACTCACACTGTGGCTGAAATCTCTGGAAGGCTGTGCTGCAATCGTACCTTGACTCCCCACTGCACAACTGCCTTGCCCCACATAGGGGGAAACACAAAGGCCTTCACATCACTCCTTCCAGGAATACTGATGCTTCCAGAATATTTGCCAGATCCAGCTCTCACATTTGCCAATGTATGAGCGCACAACATTTGTACTCCACTCAACTTTATGTCTACTGGTTCTGATTATAACTAAGATTATGTTATGATGATCCATAGGATCCCTTCTAACTGTGCTATTCTATGTTTATTTAATTTTATTATAATTCACTATGACTCATACATATATTCACCTCCTTATCACCTCCCAGCAAGTTAACACTTCCATCAATATACTTTTCTTTCTCTTAGGCACACATTCTGCCCCCACTTTCTCCTTTTCTCTATACATTAGAAGGTTTAAGAGGGGGCTGCAGCTGACACACCTGTCTCAGTTATATGAGGCACTCCCAGCAACAGCTAGGACCTAAAAATCCAGGTTTAAACCTGGTTTGGACAGCACTCCCCAAAAATGCACGCCTAAACTGTTGGGAGTGTAACTGGTGAATGTCTAAATTGGAATGTTTCTGCTAGTTGGAAGAACCTTTGTTTTACTTTGATTTATTTTCAGTTTGGGGGGCTTCATCTACCCTGTTACTTATATCAAGCAACTTCTGCAGCCTCCCTGAGATCGGTACAAAGGGAGAGTTGGTGTTCAGCACAATCTACATATTGACCCAGATACCAAAGCAAAAGGTAATGACTCCCAACATTTAAGATGCAGATGTTTAAAAAAGAGAGAGAGAGAGATAACTCTGAGGAGCTTCCGCCAGCCAAAGGACATGGATTTAAATAAAATATCCCTAGCACCAAATTCTTGAAATGGTTTCCCAGGAACAAACAGTGCTATCAATGCCTGACCCAGAAGGATATCACAATTGTCACATGGCTTCCAAGGGTCTGCTGGATTGCAAATGTAATCCATTTGAGTTTCCCATCCTCATTAAAATCTCAGAATAGTTACTTCTAGTCGTGATTACTCCATAATGAGGAAGTCGCTTTGCACATGTGCAAAAAACAACAGGTTGCTATTGGTAACTGTGGTTCTTTGGGTAGTCAACTGTAAATTCACAAGATATTGTGTTTCATTTCTATAGGGTGAACCTTTTTATGTCAGAACACCATTTATGCCTTGTTTTACTTAGCATTTGCTTTAACAATTACAAATAAAAGTTCAATGAAGCCATGTTTGCAGCTAGGGAAGTTAATATTGCTTACGTTTTGCAGATGCTGTGCTAGGTTGCCCATTCCATAGAGACTGAGCCAGCGGTAGGTTGAGCATGAATCATTCTGCCAGTTCTTTAAAAGACCCAGAGTGTAATTTTTTTGTAGCACTGCACAACTAGATTTAGAAGAAAGAAGCTGTACAACAGAAATTAGTAAATATATGGTAAGAAATACTGTACAGTAAGACCATGGTCACATCAGCAAAAGTTCCCAGTTATGCCCCAATTACATCAGGGCATAAATTTCCAGTCACACAACGCATGACCATTAGCAAATCATTTTACCAGCCAGTGGTGTAACTGTGGAACATTTCTCCTTCACCGGGAGGCTTCTAGTTTGTTTTGTTTTGTTCAGGTGGTGTTTTCATATATTCTTTAGTGGAATGGCATGTGTGTACAGTCCTATCAATACTTTTTCAAAGCAGAATCACTGTAAAGTGGCTGCCATTATTGCCTCATGGCTGACCTTTATCTCTGTCTGTCTGTCTGTCTGTCTGTCTGTCTGTCTGTCTGTCTGTCTGTTCCTGCGACTGAAGTATCAATGTGCTGGCAGACTTCTGTCAATGGGTTTAAAGCACAAACACTCCACCTACTGTCTGGCAAGGGGCACAGTGCTGATGTGTGTGTGGGAGGGGTGCTGGGTCCATTGAGTGCAATGCATTGCTTCCAGAGGTGCTGTGCAACAGAAGGAATGCTACCCATCAGGAAACACTACCAAATATATCAATGTATTGTTTACATTTTTAAAAAAGTAAAGTTGAGCTGCTTCAGTGCCCCTCAAAACAAGAGAGAAAATAAATTGGTACTGTGGTGTAGTCAGCCATGATGATTCAAATGGAAGGAAATGAACCAGTAATGTTAAAACAGATGGGGGGGGGGGGGACACATCCAGGTATATATACCATGTGACTACGAAACACAACAAGGGATAAAAAGTCTCATTACCAGAGGGCGACATTTCGCTGATGTGACTGTGGCCTACACTTTCTATGTATTGCAAGCTGTTGAAATGAGATGAGAAATTATACTCTGTCTTTATTTTCAGCTTTTATTGTTGATGGTTCCCTCCTCTTTTTCCAAACTCCTTTTCCAGGCTTCAGTGCTACTAATGTATATTCTTAAATTACATAACAGGGTTTGTTAGAATATTTCTTTGCGCTTTCTCTCTTAATTGCACAGGGCAAGCACTACTGTTAGAGTGAGGTACCTGCCTCAGGCAGAAAATGCTAAGGGTTGCATGTGGTACTGTAAGTTGTACAGCTGCCCTCCACTGTGGTGACCATTGCCTATCACCAGTGAGAATCAACCGCCATTCAGGTTGGCTTGTCTATGCAGAATGTGGTGAGTGAAGAAAATATACTAACTTGTCCTTCACTTCAAGCAGCAATATATTTTGGATCAGCCTGCTTATTCCTAATGATGCCTGAAGGCAATAATTGGACAAAGCATATTGATGCACTTTCCCATCATCTGGGTATAATTTCTCATTGCGTCCTTCTAGAAGTGCACCTTCACTCAAGTAAGTTAGGACACATGTCCTATGATGTTACAGGAATTAGAAAATAAACATACTGCAGTGAAAAAGGCCATTGCTGTCAGCTTCTGTTTTTCATCCCCATGATGAAGAAAAGGTATCACCTTGGTAAATACAGCATAATCAAGTCCACGGTGATGTTTGACAAGACTGCTATAATGACATAGTTAAAAATAAGGGAACAATATTTTAGTTTTCTTGTAGGGAACCCAAATTGAACATTATAAACAGCCAGATGTTCACAACTTCCACTACTTACTTGGCCAGAAGGAGAACCCCTTCAAGATAATTCTCTGGTGAAGAGAGAAGGTCCCAGTTTCCTGTTAGACTTGTAAAACATGTATGTGGAGTCCTCTCCCTTCGAATTAAGGCTTTCAATGCCTCCAACGCACACCTGGATTCAGGGGAGGAAAGGAATTTGATCAGTAGCGATAGCCTTCCTGATTCACAAGGTTTGCTCTTTTTTTAAAACATTATAAAACCTTTTATAAATGGTTTTGGGTTCAATGGTCTATATACTGTAGTAAGGCATTTTTTCTGGGAGCTGATTACCTTGTTTTTTGGAGATCATGAGAAATGACCTTTTAGGAGTACTTGCTAGTGACCACGGATTGTCTTTGTAGCCCCAGAAGATCATCATAATGGGTACTGGAGCTTTGCATAATCTAGTACCATGCCACACAACGGTAGGGGATGTATTGCCCTCCAGTTGTTATTGGACACTAACTCCCATGAGGCTCATTGAATGTGACCAGTGATGAAGGGTGATGGGAGGCCATATGTTCCTCTTCTTTGATATAGAGGCCATTTTCCTAATAAATTTTTATCCACTGCAGTGCACTCATTAACTTCCTTCCCTGATGGAAATCAAATGTAAATTATGGTTATGTGAAACCAATGTCAACATTAATTGATATGATTCATTATAGAATCACTCCATTTTGCAAAGTAATTTTCTTTTATTTTCTTTTTGAGGCTTTTAATGTGGACTAAGGGAGATGTTTTCATTTATGTTCTTCAGGAGAAATCGACACCCTTTGACAAAGGGGAACAAGTATCTTGTGGAATACGTTGTGTACGTCAGCTGTGAAAAATGGTTTCCAGAAGGAATGGCTTTCCCTGAAGGGTGGGTAGTACAGCATTGAAATCTGATCTGACCTATGACAGTAACTGAAAAGAAAACCTCTGTGCATAGAGCAATATTAATACTAGCTGCTAAACACAGTGTACCAACAAGGATGCACACATAATCACTTAGCAGCAATAGAATGTTTTGGAGATAGTGTCTGAATGTAGCGGTCAACTTTGACCTTGCCATCTTTGTTTGAAAGTCTGGCCAGAAATTAAGTGTGAAAGAGTTTAGTGTCCATGGAGAGGGGTTGTTGTCCTGTTGAAATAACCATTTTAAGTTTGCAAACCAAAGAATACACACATAAGATTGCATCAGGCTTAAAATATGCCCATATAATGCATGAAGATCAATTGAATACAAATTATTTCCATTGTTCAGTTCTAAGAATGATTACCTCTGGATCAAAGGCATTAAATCAAATTATCCGGAAACCAACACTTATATTTATCTGCTTGGCATCCCATTACGTTTTACCTTATATAACTTGATGTTTCGAATACCTCCTCTTCTTCATGTTCAATATCTGCATAGCTCACCAAGTAATGTAGCTGAATCACCAGGAAGATGATCACAGATACAAAAAAGCTATCCATAGGCACTTTGCATTTTCTATCTCTAAATATTATGCACAGAGCCTTTGTTGCCTGAAAGACAATAATAAGGATAATGATCATGACTGTTCACATCAAATATTAATTCTGGACAATTCAGTTGCTCTCTCAAAAGTATGTATCGGTAGTTATCTCGGTTCTCCAGTTAGTTGTGGCTTAACCTTGAAACCAAAGATAGGTGGAGAAGATTGCTGTATGGCTGCAATAAGGATTATTCTGTCACAAAGTGTGGCTGACCATCCTAGAACTGTTCATGTTCTTCTTCTTTCCTTCACGTTTATTTCTTTTTCTTTAAGGTGACCTTCCACATCCTGGTGCCTTCCAGGTGCATTGGTCCAATTTCTTTCTTTCTTTAAAATATTATTACCCCGCCTTTCACCTGAAAAAGGACCCACGGTGGCTTACATCTTAAAAAAAACAACATCTGAATGCTGCTAAGATGCACACGCAATGGGAGTTAAAGCTGGATACCTCTAAAAGATCAAGATACATTGCTCTATTTTTAAAAAATTAATTTAATTTATATGCTACCTTTCTCCCCATGGAGAAATCCAACACAACTCTCAATAAGTTAAAACAAATTAAGAAAACACACTTTAAATCCACAATGGAATATAATTTTTTTTAAAAAAAGGAACAGAAAGCAATATTTAAAGCTGCCATTCATAAACACTACAAAATATGTACGCCTCAGACAAGTAGGAAAATAAAGTGTACACAGCATCTCATAATGACACTTGTCTAAAAGGGAACTTGCTGCCTGTTGGCAGAGGGACAAAAAGTGGGGGCCAATTTGACTTCTAGGGGGAATGCTTTCCACAGCCTGGTAACAGACACTGAAAAGGCCTTCTTTGGTGTCTTCACCAAACAGTTCCAATTCGATCTTAAAAGCCAAGGAGGTTGATATGAGCTGACACACTCTTTCAGATAACTTGAACCTAGGTCATGAATGGCTTTATATGTGACATTTATAAAGCGCTTTGAATGGGACCCAAAAATGGAACATCACCCTGTCAAACTGTTGTAATAGGAGAGAGATATATCTTCCTAACTAATGCTGCTTATCAGGGTGGTTGTCGCATTTTGAACCATCTGAAGTTTCCAAAATGCTCTTCAAATACAGCCCGATATAAGGCACACTGCAGTAATCCAGATGGGATGTAACTATGATAAGTGTCTCTGCAACAAATGGGCTCAGCCAGTGCACTATGTTTAACTATGCAAATGCACTCCTGAACACCACTGAATCCTGTACATCCAAGCTCAGGGCTGAATTCAGAAGTGCACCCAAGCTGCTGACCTGAGTTTCAAAGGAAGAGTGTAATCCCATCGGGTCTAGGCTGAATCCCTAATTCCTGGTCTGATTTTTTTTAACTGCCCAGGAGCACATCTGTGTCATCTGGGTTAAATTTCAGTTTCTTTGCACTACTCTGGGATGTTAGCAACATTAAACACTGGTTGAGACCCAAAGCACCTTCCTTGGAATTAGATGGAAAAGAGAAACAGAAGTGCACCAGCACCCTGGTGGCACCAAATTGCCAAATTCTAGACAGCCTCTCCCAGGGGTTTCATGTAAAGGTTAAAGAGTATGAAGGGCAGAGGCGAGTCTAGGGTGTCAGACAGGATAACCCCAACATCACCTTCTGAGTTTTGCTCCCTGGGAAGGACTGGAACCACTACAAAACGCAATCTCCACGTCCTAGAAAGAAGGCCCAGAAGGACACCATGGTTGATGATATCGAAAGCTGCCGAGATGTTCAGCAGAACCAATAGGGATACCCACCCCCTGTCCAGTTCCAAGAGGAAGTTATTCACCATGGCAGTCAAAGTGTCTCTGTCCCATAACAAGGCCTATGGCAGACAGAAATGTTTCTAGATCATCTGCCTCATTCAGGAACCCCTCTCTAAGACCTGACATTCTCTGTAAGTGTTTACTTGCATTATAGAAGAGAGAGATGCATAAGCACCAGCATATGGGAACGAAATGATCCTAAGCATGGGTCAAGCCACAATATGGTATATTTAAGTGAACATACCTGTGACATATTTAAGTGCGCAGGTGGCTTGAGGCATGTTCTTGTCTGAGTAAAAGGACAGGATGATGGCTCCTCCCTGCATTTAACTTACAGGTACAAGCCAGTCTGGCAAATGAATCTGACTGAAATACTGGGCACTGCCCTCTACACCACTTGAAGCAGCAGGGGTTGTGATGCAAGGCAACACCTTGCTGTTGCTCAGTCTTTACCGAAATACTGTATCAGCATGCATCACATAAGCAGAGCAACACACATGCACACATGCTGTCTGTTAGGGGTGGTGGCAAGAAGAAGGCAGACAGGCAAGTGGCTCATGTCAGCAACCAGCAAGCATTACCAGTGCCAGGGCAGTGGTGCAGGAGAGTGAGAATGGTACTAGGAAGGGAGAGGGGAACTACAGTGGATAGGAATGCAGCGGCCTCCCAACATCTGTTACTGAAACAGACACCTCGTTCTGCATAAGGGTAGGACCAACCTCCAAATGCACTTTTTAACTGTCTACTGAAGAACGGATTCAGAGGTTTGTTTACTGTAGCATGAGATGTTTCAGTTCCTGCAAATCATTTGGTTTTGTGGTTCCTTGGTTTCATTTTTAAAATAAGCATGGGCTTCATTCTGAGGATTGTTTGCTCAGGCATAGGAGTTCTCAAGGAATGAACCTCTGGAGAAAAAAATGTTTTGTTGTCTTCTAATTCCAGGGCCACCATCTTGTCTAGCTCCAGCCTGAATTTTAAAATGTAACTGGAGTCATGCACAGAACTTGAAAATAATTCATCACAAACATCTTTTTATCTGTAATTCGTTCCTCTTCCTAACAACTAAGGCATAACATTACATTATGGGCACACTGATAATCGTAGCTCTTTTTGTGTTATAACTGTGGCTTTCAATTACTCTTACAGTTACAGGGGTAAGGCCCACTAAGTAATGGAAAAAGAATTCATGTTACTTCATGATGTTATCATGTGCCCAATTGCAAATGTTCACAGAACAGCAAGGTGGGCGAAAAGGAAGTGTGTTTTGTACCGCCGTCAGCAGCTTATACTCTGTATATTTTTGAGAAGTAATGCAACTATTTTAGCTACTTCTGTGAAACAGAAATGTAGGGAGTCACTCTTTTAAACATCACAACAATAAAAGTAACTAACTCCAAGGAGAGGGTCTTAGAACTGTAACTGTGATTATTATTAATCAAAGGAATTTTCTACTGTGTGAACAGACACATTTCTAGTTCCCAGACAATCTACACTTTAAAGCACAGCACATCTTGCCATAATTTGAAGTAACACATTTCTGTTGCTCACAGCTAGAGGTAGAAGCGAGGAATCATCCTTGTCCAAATCAGAGAGTTCATGGTCGAAGCAAGGTCTTCTTTTCAAGACTTCAAGGAGCTTTGCAAGAACTTGTAGTCTGACAGGCTGCTTTGCCCGACCCAGAGTTTTCCAAATTTGAGTGACATGCCTAAAATTAACATGAAATCACACAAAGCAAATATATAATAAAGTGGATGCAACCGTTGTGTATTTCTTTCCCTTGCCATTCTCATAATACTGTGTTTTCCAGTAAATAAGACATGGTCTTATTTATATATATAAGACTTAACTGGGGCTTATTTTAGGGGTAGGGCTTATATTACAAGCATCCTGAAAAATCATACTAGGGCTTATTTTCAGGTTAGGTCTTATTTTCGGCGAAACAGGGTAATAATGTCAGATTGATTCCAACTCACGGCAACTCTCCTGGTTTTTTCTAGGCATACAGTACTGAGAAGAGGTTACCAATCCTTCCTTCTGGAGGTGCTCTGGAATGGCGCAGCTTGGCTACACAGGTGGCAGGGACTTAACCCCATCAGCCACAGAAATTCTATGTGATCTCTCTCTCTCCCCTCTCCAAGGAAGCAAGTGGAGGTTTGAAATCCCAGCCTCTGGCTCCACAACCAAGAACTCCAACACACTGAGTTATACCAGCTCCTTGCCACACTAACAGACTACAGTGGAGTTTTACAGTGGACCCTTGACTTACATACGGCTTGACTTACAGACTTTTTGACTTGAGAACCGCCTTCCAATATGGATTAAGTTCTCAAGTCAAGACCCCACTGTATATTGACAGCTTTATATCTATATGGGAGCCAGTGTGGGTAGTGGACAGAGAATCAAAGTAAGAGCCAGAAGACCGAGGTTCAAAAATCCCTGCTCTGTCATGGCAACTCAGTGGGGACTGGCAAAGGTAGAACACTCTTTGAATGGGTCACATATCTTGAAACCCTATCAGAGCTGATGGAAGTCAGAAGCAACCTGATAGCACGTAACAATATATACATGCATAAACACATGCAAATGTGCTCTCTCTCTCTCTCTCTCTCTCTCACACACACACACACACACACACACACACACACACACACACACACACACACACACACACACACACCAAGCTTACGCACACACAAAAAGGATAATACATTATTTGCTGTCAGATTTCCACAGTCAGATTTTGCGCCGCGAGGGCTAGGATTGTATCTGGAATTCTCATCAGTCTCGCTCATATTGTACAAGACAATTAAGGAGCTGACCACCACCGTCGTTTGGGAATCTCTGGGAGACAATTTGAAATGCAGAGCCTTTTCCTCTGAGATTGCCATTCCAGTGCAGCCTACATATTAACAGGGCTTTATATCATGCAATTCTATGCACTTATTCTGCAGTGCAGTTGCTTTTAGGGGAGGGGCCTCACCCAATGGATTTCAGGAAAATGCTCTTCAGGAGAACAAAAAATGCTCCACATAAAGAGCCAAACCTTGCTGCGCAGATCTTACGGTTTTAAGTTAGGAAGCAAAATAAAGGGCTTTAGTTAGTACACCAGGCCCAAAAGGTCTAGGGATATATCAACACTATAAATCATAGTAGTTTGACAGTCTTTTAATAGCTATGGTCCCCTCTTAAAGAACCCTGGACTTTTTAGTTTATCTCATTCTCCCAAACCACAGCACTAGGACTCTCCAGCAGGAATTCTACTTCCCTTACCAAACTACAAACCCCATAAATCTGCAGGATGGCACTACAGTGATTGAAACAATATCAGACTGCTGTTGTCTGTGTAGAGCTGGGCAAATATCTCTGCTGGAAACCCCAAGAAGGTAGCAAATAATATCCGGCTACACAGACCAATCAATCCTCTGACAATGTATAAGTCAGTGTCCTCAGTTCCACTTGGCTGATGCAGATGGTGGTATGACCACTTGAGGGCTCTGCAGACTGCATGGCTGGCTTCTCATGGCAGTAAAGGGGCTTTGTAGACATGTACCTGGAAACTGGTATATTGTGCCATATCCGCGTCTTATGTCTAAAATGTAGACTGTGAATGTCCATAAGAATAAAAGAAGAAGTGACAATTTCCTCACTTCAGGTGCTACATTACGTAGGATAACTGCTCCCCCCCCCAAAAAAACACCACACAACTAAAAATCTATGCATATTTTAAATAAATGTCAAGAGCTTAGTTTTTCTACAACACGTTGAGAAAGGCTACAAACTGCAGGATATTTGAAACAGTGGAATCAATGACACTGTTGTCTAATTGCTCCACCCATTTCTCCCCCAGAGGTGCAAGGAAGAACACTCTGTGGAGAGGAAACCTTCTTTCTTTGGCTTCTCTTTGGGAAATGGGGACAATAAGAGCACCATTTCCAGGACTTGGGAATATTTTGGAATCATCCATCCAGTGTGGCTCTGCTCGCTGAGGGATGCTGGGGCAAGCAACTTGTCCTCCCCCAAAACTATAACTTTCCCAAGCTCTGATCATTCCTCACTGGTCACAAAGCAGTGAGAGCCTCAGAAGGCTTGTGACGACTTCCTCGGTGTGTTTTTCCGCCAGGAGGCACACAGCTCCTACTGCTGCTTCTCTTGCGCTAGGTTCCTGGATTGCATGTAGGTGAAAATAAATGATTTCAATGATTTCCGGCACCTGAAGAGGGGGAAAAAAAACACAAAGAGATGTTGTCGTACATAAACCTCTCCTGATTTTTGATGCTTGTTCTCATTTATATTTTCAGTTGCGAAAATAGTAATGCTGATTACTCAGTTTGTTGCTATTGCTCCTCCTCCTCTTCTCATCATTACTGATTAGACACATCTATATCCACCGTTCCTTCAACTAAGTCAAGGTGGCATGGCTTTCTCGTTTTCTCACCCTTTTATCCTCACTGTGAAGTAGAGAGAATGACCGGCCCAAGGTTACCAGAGACTGTCATGGCTCTGTTAAGACTTCAGTGTGGAACTCTCAAGCCCATTCTGTTCTGAAAACTGCGGTACTCATTTTCTAAAGAAGCTGGAAAGCAATGAATGGGATGCTTGAGGCATCATTTCAGCAGATAAAATGATCCCGTATTCATTGAAAGTACTGAGTATGTCATCAAATGCTGAAACGATGACAGGCCGAGTACCTCTAATAATGAGTACAATGGATCTCAGATGTTTTGGACTTCATCTCCTAAAAGGCCCTGCCAACATGGCCAATGGCCATGCATTCTGGAAGTTTGGAGGGCCAAAGGCTGAGAATTACTTTACTAGCAAATGATTTTGCATTATTTCTGCACCATAAAATCTAATTGAATTAAGAAACAACATTATGATATAGTCCTTTGCAAGGGTGGTATTAAAATGGCCTCCCCCCCATCTGATTTATGCACACTTTTACTGACTATAGTGCTGCCCACATGATTTACTTGGTTCTTTAATAATCTTTCATTTATTATGACTCCTCCCTAATATGTAGTCATCCACCTTCTTGACAAGTGATACCAGAGTTTTCAGATGATTCTTGTCACAGGCTTCATGAGAATTATATCATCAAGATCATGTCTCTTAGAAAACCTCAGCATCTAGCCCAGCTTTCCCAGTCTGGTGTCTTGGGATGTATTGGACTACAGATCCCATCATTTCCAAACAACATGGCAAGTGGCTATGCTATATAAGGAAGGAAGATGGTAGGCATCAGGATGTGGAAAACTGACCTCATCCGTGGCTTCTGGCAAACTACAGGTCCAAATGCAGCTACGTATGAATCCTCTGGAGTGTTTAATACAATACAAGCAAATAAAATGCCCAACTGACAAGCAATCAGTGACTTTAATATTGCGCCTATCTCCAGAATTCTTTGCTAAGGGTCCACAAATCTATCTACAACCTCAGTTGCTGAAACCTGAGGGCAGAGGACTCTGCACCTTCACCACCTTTCTTTACCTTTCCCCTCAGTTTGTTTCTCTCTTTCTTTAAGATTGTGTTCAACATTTCTGCAGCTGCCTGAATACTGATTCTGTCTGCGTCCCTTAGAGTAGCCACTGCTAAAAGGATCTGCCCAGTAATGATGACTGTTGCATCAGCTTTTTGAGATTCCTGAAAGAAATAAAGAAGAAGAAGCATCCACAAATATATGAGGTCCCACCCACTCACTGCTATGTATTACAGAGTCATAAAAGGGGGATGTACACTAAGGACCCTTCAAACCAGCCCCTGCCCTGGGAAGATATTCCTTATTTGTAAGAAGACTGTGCACTGAAGATGAAGACGTCATAATTTTGAATATAGACCTAGATATAGTCAAATATCCCATTTATTCCATAGCAAAGCAGTAGCAACAAAGATCGTCAGAGGTACAGTATAGAAGCACAAAGAAAGCCTAGATTTTCATGGCTGTGAATGTGTGCTCAAGCTCATTGGAAATGATGCCTTCAATCAGGAGTGAGGAAGCTGTGATGCTCCGGATATTGTTGGACTCCAGTTTCCATCAGCCACACTCGCCAAGGCCAGTGGTGAGTGATGATGGGAAATGGTAGTCAAGTAACAGCTGGAAGGCTACAGTTTCCTTACCCCTGCCTTAGAGGCTGCAGTTTTATACTCATTTACTTAAGAGTAAGCCCTATAGAACTCAATGGGACAGATTTCTGAGGAAACTGGAAATGTGGTATGTGTGTTATATTATAAAGTAATGCTTTCTCAAAAATAATCTGTTGCCCTTTATTTATAACTTTTAAACATGTTGCTTGGTTGACATTAGTCATTGCACAATATTAAGGGGAGGAGTGTGTTATTTGTAACATGTTATGTCCAAGCTCCGATTGTGATGTCCAGAAGACAACCTGGAAACAGAAGTCTCCCCTAGTTATACAGAATGGTTGTACCTCATTCAAGTCTTCTTTAACTGCCTGCAAGGTGATACCCTTGTCATATTTCAAGTGTTGGTTTGCATCCCCTTTTGTCTGTTTCTCCTTTGCAAGGTGGTCCCCACGCTCTGATTTTGCCTGGACAGTGGTTTTTCTTTTCAACATATATTTCTTTACCGGGCAGAAACAAGTGAGTTGTAAACAAATGTACCTTCTTCTCTTGGGTCACATCATCTAATTCCTCCTCAAAGGAAGTTTGTGTCATTTTATCTAAGCAGGTAAAGTCTGGTTCGTTGGCAAATGCCATGTTCAGTCCCACATGTGGGCCATGGGCCTTTTAATCTTTTCTCTTACAACCATAACTGTCCTACAAGAAAACACAAATTCCTGAATTATTCTTTTCCCATTGAACATGTCACTGCAGCCTTAGATCAAGACTGAATATTGGCTTGCCTGACAAATAAGTCCCTTAAACTCTGCCCTGTTCTCAGTGGCTTGGTGAAAGAGCATGGACTTTGGAAGCAGAAGGTCTCAGGTTTACTGTCCAGTGATTTTTGCAGTTATGGATTGGAAACGTTATCAGCCAGATCCTAGAGAGCTTATGCAAGTCAATACATTAGGTAGATGGGCCAATGATTGGACCAAGTGTAAAACCACGATCACGTGTTGTGTGTGTTCCAATTATGTGATGTTTCTCTATATCCATTGGCCCTAATGCCCATTTTGGCCAGTGCAGCAGGGGGCACAGGAACCAATGTTGGGCAAAGCCTAGGCAAAAATGGAGATGCATATACAGACACAAAGATATCCTCTCTCACACACAGTGAGTTAGACAAGCACTGAGTGCATGCACACAAAGAGAAGGTCTCTTGCCTTTAGTGAGGAGGCAGGAACAGTGGGATAGCTGGGAGCAGCCTAGGTCCAAGATGGAGCCTTTATGGATGCACTGCCTATATGTGGCCCTTACAGTAGCCCTTAAGAATGTGGAGTGGAATAGACTGTTGCCTCCTTCATGGGTGACTCTCATGGAACAGTACTGAGAAATGGTGACATGGCTTCAGCATTTCCCAAGTACTTGGAGCACTGCCTAGCCTGGCATAGATATGTCCATGTATTTAGCATGGTCATGTGCAGAAGGAAAAAAAAACTGCTGAAACTCAGCACAAGTGAAGATATCAGCCAGTATCATTATTGTCCTAGTTGTGCAGAAACATCCATGTGAGCAATGAGCAGTGATGAACCCAGAGGCTTTTTCTCATGCAAGTGATTCTGTTTATGCATGGACGTTTGCCAAAGCTACTGGCTAATCTGGCTGGGATATGAGTGTATCAGAACTGTAGAAAAAATACACATGTCTAAGGCATGCTGATTACCCATGTGAATCACTTGAGAAATAACATATCTAAACTATGCATTTTACCCATTTGATTATATTACTTGGTCTATTGTGTTGTATGTGTGGATACTGTGTGCTCTTAGGCAGGGTTCTGGGTTTTAGGATTGTTATGAGGGTGTGTGTGTTTTGGTCTGGTCTCTGAGTGTTCTTTGTGAATTTTGTTCTATGTGTATACGGTGTATATGCATTCAATGACAATAAATTATTATTATTATTACCATTATATTCTTCCTCACCTCAGTGTTGACACTACAGAAGATGGGATGTTTTACAAATGGCAGCCCCATAGTCACTGCCATGTCAACACACTGGGCTGTTGATGAACTACATAATCGATAATTCCATTATTTACAGTAATAGCTGAAATCCTGTTGTTCATTGCATCAAGTCACTACTAGATTAGGGGCCTACTTGTGACTAATTGTGTTAAGCAACAGGATTTCAACATACATTGGTGTTTCCTGGATTATAATTTAATAATTATCAAGGTGTTTTCCAAGTCTCATGTATCAATAAGTTGAAATTCATTCCCAACCACACCAACTTGTGTGTTGGGCAAAACCAAAATAAATGCAAGTGTACTGGGGCTCCTTTAAAACTAACAGATTTAGTTTGGTGTGATCGGTCATGGGTTACTATTCACTTCTTCAAACTCATCTTCATCTGTTCATCTCTGTGTTTCTGAGAATGTAGATGCTTTGGGGGGAATATTGGAGGGGTTTTTTACACATATTGAAACAAGATAACATGATTATTTCTTTGAGACCTACTGTATTTTTAGGAATAATTTCCTACTAGGATGTAAAAGAAGGTCAATTTCCAACTGCCTTGCATTTATGGCCAGTTATAAAATGAACATATATATATAGACTATTATATATACTCTCTCTCTCTCTCTCTATCCTCTCTCTCTCTCTCTCTCTCTATCTATCTATCTACACACACACACACACACACACACACACAGAGAGAGTAAACTATTATATATACGCTCTCTCTCTCATACACATACAGAGAGAGAGAGAGAGAGAGAGACTAGAATGAGATGTCCAGTGATGCTGTGGGCTAAACCACAGAAGCCTCTGTGCTGCAGGGTCAGAAGACCAGCAGTCATAAGATCGAATCCATGTGACAGAGTGAGCTCCCGTTGCTTTGTCCCAGCTCCTCGCCAACCTAGCAGTTCGAAAGCATGCAAATGCGAGTAGATAAATAGGTACCACCTCGGTGGGAAGGTAAAACGGTGTTCCCTAGTCACGCTGGCCACGTGGCAATGGAAACTGTCTTCAGACAAGCGCTGGCTCTACGGCTTGAAAACGGGATGAGCACCGCCTCCTAGAGTCGGACACGACTGGACTAAAAATGTCAAGGGGAACCTTAAGAGTTCAGGTGACATGTCTGCCACTAGAAAGAGTCCGATGAGCTAATAGTAGTTTATAGAAGTAGTTGACAACATGGGGTTTTCTACAGTACTTACAAGTCTGCATGGCAGGTGACATGTCTGCCACTAGAAAGAGTCCAATGAGCTAATAGCAATTTATAGAAGTAGTTGACATGACGTTTTCTACAGTACTTACAAGTCTGCATGGTTGGAACCTGTGTTATATATTTCCCTTTCTGGTACAGCTGTTTCTGCCTCACTGAAATGTGGTAATGAAAGGATCACCATTTATGATAGGACAGGTCACAATAGATTTTAACACAGCTTTTGTGGCTACCAAATGAGCTAATAGCAATTTATAGAAGTAGTTGACATGACGTTTTCTACAGTACTTACAAGTCTGCATGGTTGGAACCTGTGTTATATATTTCCCTTTCTGGTACAGCTGTTTCTGCCTCACTGAAATGTGGTAATGAAAGGATCACCATTTATGATAGGACAGGTCACAATAGATTTTAACACAGCTTTTGTGGCTACCATGGCAACAATATTACCAAGGCTGTCCAGTGTTCCGCTGGTTGTCATGAGTATCACTTGGGCTACCAACTGAGGCAGCATTATTATCCGCAGCAGGAATTCCCTGAATCCAAGGCCAGATGTCTTGTATATTCCTTCCTATTACAGAAAAGATTAACTAGAACAGCTTCATGAATGGAGGATCTCTCATAAATAAAAGTTCAAAGAAACCTTCAGCTTGGGGGTGGGGAGGGGACAGAGAAAAGGGCTGAAGTTTACAGCTGAATTGTCAAGATTTTAGATGAAGAGTTTCGTTAGAATGAACAAATCTACAGATTAAATTAAATTTAGAGGTAAATCCATTGACATCTGTGTGATTTAACTTAGTCATAATTCTAATGGAGCTGCACTAGGTACGACTAATTCTGAATCTTACCTAATGTAGGCAAGCAATAGTGGCATCACATCATCATCATCAGTTATATTTCTTTTCCACCTTTCCTCCCATCAGCTCAAGGCTGCATACTTGCTCCCTCACCCCATTTTTAAACTCACAATAGCTCCATGAAGACTCAGTAAACTACCACCAGGTGGTGGCTGCAACCCTATGGAATCAATTACCTGCAGATATACTCCAGGCCCCCTACCTCTTGTCCTTCTGAAAACAGGTTAAAACCATACTGCTCAAAGAGGCCCTTGGAAACATCTTACACCTGTAACATCGTTGTGGCCCATATACTGAGTTGATATTGATTTCAATTTCCCATCCAGGTTTCAGTCTTTTTTTGGGGGGGGAGGGGGGAATACCTTGGGTTTTTAATGTTTCTTAGTTCTCTATTTATATCTTTGTGGGTGGTATTGTGTTGTGGCATTTTAACTGTTGTTAGCCATCCAGAGTAGTGCCCCAGCACTAGATGGGCAGGATATAAATATAATGAATAAATACCATACCATGGCATGGCATGGCATGGCCTGGCATACCATAAATGTCTTCAAGAGCTGCCTGCAGCATTTCAAACAGGAGCCTTGCGGTGCTGTTCAGGCCAATCAGGTAAGGAGAACTGAGGTAAGAAACAAAACAGGGAGCTTCTTTTCCCTTCCCCTGAAGACCTTTTTTGAGCTGAAAGGATCAGGGAGCAGGTAATAAGGGAACTCTCTGCCTTAGACTGAACTAAACCTAACTTTGAGCCATAAAATATTTTCCTTCAAGGGCTATCCTTAAAAGCTGCAATGCTTGCACGAGCAACTTGTAAAGAGGGCTTCTGGTAATCAGTTTCAGCATATATAACAAGATTCAGCTTTCATGGATTTGCAATGGATTACAATCCCTAAAAAAACCCACACATTATGTGGGTTTTTCCATTATGGAATCGTTCAGATTCCATAATGCTTTTTTGGTTGCTTTTACTTTTAATCAAGTCTAGGGTAGTTTCTCCTTTAGTGCCAAATGACAATTTGGCATTGCCTGATATGATCAATTAACCCAGAAATACCCCAATCTTTAGAGGTACTTTTGTTTTGGAGGTGTGGAAAATGGCAGAGAAAGAACATGACTTGCAGGGACAGGCAAGGAATTACAGGATGGGAGAGTCTTTATACATATGGGTGAAATGGAGATAACCTTATTGAGGAAGTCCATAAGAAATCCGTAAGTTTTGGCAGCCCTTTCTTCAGAATCCTTAACCTTACCTTCCTCAGATTTCAGATGCTCTCAGTCAGGAAGGCTCTGAAGCCAAAAGAGCTTCATTTGTGAGGTTTTTCATTTAGGTTAACCTGAAATTCCCATCCCTAGGATGTATATGCACCCTCCATTCTTCTGGTTAAATCCTATCTTCATTTTTTCTATCCACTCCCTTCTGCCAACAGTCATATCAGTATTCCAAGGATCAAAGGTTACAAATCTTTGTTAGATTATGGTGTTTTTTGAAAAAAGGCCAAAATGTACAATTTATCCAGATTGAACTAGCAACTTGAGATATGCATGCTTGATCATTATAGGGCTCATAACTGAACTTGCAGAAACCAACTAGGTTATAAATGGAATGAAACAAAAGAATAAACAACACACACATGATGGGAGAGTGGTTTATAATGTTTATAATAATGTTTTGCATAAAGTCCTTGTCATTAACATCCATCTGGACTGGACTGATTAATTCTCCATGCACAGGGGAAGACTTCAAGAAGCAGGGGATCCAAAGATGAAAGGAGGTTTGACAGCCGGAGAGACAAGAAACAGTGCAGTGCCTAATTTGATGCTGCCAATCCCTAGATCATGATGATTTTTTCTCTTATTGATCTCATTACAAGCACTATGCACAAGTCAGCTAATTTCTTTTTTTTTCAAGTAGCAGGGGAGAGAGTGCATGCTGTTGGGGAGTTTGAAAAGGCCTCCACAGCTGGAAAGGCTAAAATGGAGTTTTTGAAATCTACAATCCTCTGCCACTCCAGAACTGCTAGTTTTTTGCACCGACAGCTGTCCTTTTCTGAGCTTATATTTGAGACTGGAAAACAAGCACACACATGCACCATTACTCACTAAAATATTACATACACTGTGTACACACACGCACGCACGCACGCACGCATGCACGCACACACACACACACACACAACCACACACACACACACACACAGAGAGAGAGAGAGAGAGAGAGAGAGAGAGAGAGAGAGAGAGAGAGAGAGACCCTCGTTACATCATGTGTATTAATTCGGTCAAGGCTTTCTTGGTTGTGCTACAGAAGCATTGGTTGCTTGGCTTATGATAGTCCTGGCCTGAGAAGAAGATTTATACATCTAGTATAAATCCAGTCTAACTTTTGCTTAGCATGTAATTTAAAAGAGGTGCTCCCTCAAGTGTTGAAAGACACAGTTTGTCACAGCACATATTTTTCCTTAACTACTTATCTTGCATTTAGCATTCCTTGTTTTCTGATTGATCACGGAAAGTAAACAGGCACCCGATTTACAATTCTTGCTGAGGAATTCCTATACTATGAAGGGAAATTGGGTATTTGAAGGAAAAATGCACCCTCCAATGCCTAGGATCCTCATTGCCCCAATGGACAGGAGAAAAGGCAGTTTTGCGTCATCCTGCCAGTTCCCTCCCCCGCCATGATGTTATTCACCATCCTATGTTTGCTGCTCTCTGACACAGCTGAAGCCCTGATCGGTTGCATCAGGACAGGGAGATAATAAATGTGAGACCCTGAAAGGAATAAGAGTGAGAAACTGTAGCTAGAGATAGAAATGAAATATGTTGGGTTTGCATTTCCCTATGAAAATATCCATTTCACACACCCCAACACTGGCAACGGGGCAAAGCACACATTCGGAAATACATTTCCAAGATACCCAGTGTGTTTTAGTGATGAAAAATGTATACCAAATCATGTATACATCTGAAAAAGAGATGAAAAAGTAAACTGTAAAATATATATTTGAAAAAAAAAAAACCACACATATGCTTTAGTCCATGGTGAAAAGGCATAAGAATGTGTACATTAGGAAAAATATGTACAGGAGTATGCCATGTCACCAGGGACGTGGTGGTGCTGCAGGTTAAACCACAGAAGCCTCTGTGCTGCAAGGTCAGAAGACCATCAGTCATAAGATCAAATCCACGTGATGGAGCGAGTCCCCATCACTTGTCCCAGCTCCTGCCAACCTAGCAGTTCAAAAACATGTAAAAATGCGAGTAGATAAATAGGCACAGTGGGAAGGTAAAGGTGTTCCGTGTCTAGTCGTGCTGGCCACGTGACCATGGAAACTGTCTTCGGTCAAACGCTGGCTCTACAGCTTGGAAACGCACCCTAGAGTCAGACGCGACTGGACTAAATGTCAAGGGGAACCTTTACCTATGCCATGTTAGTCTGTGCAAGCATTATAGGTAAAAACAAAATAAAAATAAAAGACAAAAATATAGTGGCACCTGAAAAGCTAACTGTTACAGTTTAGTGTGATCTTCCATGGATAAAATCCACTCCTTCAGACATAAGAGAGATTCATTTCTCTAGCTGTAGTTGTTATATATTCGAAGTTCTGCCACACAGAGTGACCCAAATATAGATGTATATTCTTCAGATTTAAATCTGGGAACCTTGACCTTTAGATGTCAGCTGATAAATACTTCTTTGTTTAGGATTTGGACAGTGAGCCTGTGGACTCATGCTACTTTTAACTTTTCTTGGCATTACTTATGCTACCGCTAGCAAATGCCAGTCATTACGGTGGGAAGGAACAGAGCTGAAACTCATGGTCTCAAAATGTTTTCTTCAGTGAATATTTTATAGTAGGAAATGATTTACTAAATACCCTCGATTTTACATAGAGCATCAATAGTTTATAAGATGATATAACATGAAACTAATGGCTAGCACATGATGGATCAAAAACTGCCCTTCTGTGAAATTTGCCTCCCTTCCCTGTTTGAAGATATTGGTTGAGAAGAGGGGGATGTATGCGTGTGTGTGTTTATGGGTGTGTGTGTGTGGTACTGGAAGTGAGAGAGGCAGAGAGAGGGGGTATGAAAGAGAAGAAGAAGAGGAGAAGAAGGGGAGGAGGAGGGGGGAGGTGGATGTGGACGAGAAAAGGGTGTGTGCTCGCACATTATTGGCAATATACAATCTCCACACTGTTGGTTCCATCCACAGTTGATAGCAGGCCCATGTATGGCAATGTTGATCAGAAAAGGTATCCCACCGTGGTACAGATTTAAATATAACATACTCCATTCTCGAAGAATCATAGAGTCCCTATCTTCTTGCCAACAGCATGTCATGTCCTCCAGGTTCTTTTTCAAAAGACAG